ATCGACGCCAAAGTCTCTAACAGTTACAAATAGACTTTTTTAAAACACCATGCACCAAAGATTAAAGCAAACAGGTTCGAGTTTCTATAGCTACGCATTGTCAAAAGGTGGTCTACCAATTTACCTCCACAGGATACCACCAGCAAGCCGAATGAATTCTTTGTGATCAGCATCCAAGTAACCCCAGCAGGTGAGGATTTGTATGGATCCGCGGTATTGACCTAATTCTGGTTAGCTACATACTTTCAGAGTGAGCATACGAACTTATAAATCAAACCGAAAATATGACTGTTTCGCAGCAGTTATGCGAACTTTTAATTCGCCAGCTTACTAACTTCTCATGCGCAGTTGTTGACTGTTTTTGTGAGCTCATGTATATGGTAGTAGCCATTGCAGCAATTTTAATTTTTTACTTTGCCTGCGCAGCTTGAAAGCACAGTCTTATATATCACATAGAGTCTATACGTCTGCCTTGCTTGTAGCTTTCTATCTATTCTTATTCTTGTTTATTCTTATTCATCTATTGTTGCTTTGCCTTGTTTGTGTGTTTATGCCCATAATAAAGTGTAAGAACTACAGTTTGAAGCTGATGCTCGCTAGCAAAACGTGGAAGACCCGCGTGACCAGAATTGGAGAACATTCATAAGGCATATGTGACAAGTGAATAATTTCTTTATAATCAGCGTGCCCTACCTGTTAGGCAAAGATTCAGACGGGTTCGCGATATTGATATATTGATATCTCACCATACGCATGCTGTATAATGCTTTCATAGTGCGACATACCGAACGATTCTTTTGACAAGCTGAGCCCAACGCCGCTTTTGTTTTTGACACATGTCAATTTTGTACGAAGTTATGACGATGCGACGTTTCGCGACGAAGTTGCAGTAAAACACTTTTGCAAAAGCTTTTTAGGCAGTAACGTACTTCTTGTTCTTTCGCAAGCAAAACGTTAGCTTCAGGTCTTTTGCGATGAACGAGATGAACTTGCGGGAGTAAGAGAGAAAAGAGAAAACTGTAAGAGCTATTGTTTATAACTATTTCAATCCCGCTAAACAACGTATATTTGAATGTTTCCACACTCATCCCCAAAAACTCAGCCTTCATAGCATTTTTGTGTCGCAACTTAGTTTGATATATATTTGCTGAAATTTGGATATAATGCGTATACTGCAAGCAAAAATGCGCTTGTAAGAAATACAGGCATAGTTGCAGCGCACATTTCCACAATCTTCTTATTTAAAATAAGTTTTTTACTCTAAAGCACATTGGAACTTACTAGTGATAAAAGATAAGCGACGTCTTTGATGCTGATGGTACTGCCAAAAGGGGATTTTGGAGTTAACCTTTAAAAAATGCTTTGGTTTTGACGGAGTGACATTTCAGCGGGCTTTTTTGACTACATCCAATTTTTTTCAATCATATAGTCATTGTATTCAAGATCTCTTGAACTCAAAGAGCTATCTCAAACGCACTATAGCAAGACTGCAGTCCTTTTGAGATAATGCTGGCATCCTTGACATCCACGCATCCCCGAGATGTATGGCAAAATACATAACCGGTACTTCTTCTATAAAGATGGTGGTTATAGTTTGTGTAGATATACTGTCAAAAATAGCCTGATTCTCTCTCTACCTTGCTCCTTCTTGCCAGTCAGTACAATTGCCAAAACAACACCAACAATGATGAGAACTGCGACTATGGCGCCTGGCACTCCCCACTTATAGATCCTCTTCATCCTTTCTAAAGTAATCTAGAAACATTATGAAATTCTGGATTTCGGTCTTCGAACATTCAAAAAAAGTGAAAATGAAAAAATCTAAAAATGAAAATTTACATAAGCTTGAGGATACAAAAAGTCAATATTTTGACTTTCACACATCAAATAATTGATGATTTTGTCCTTTCTTCTGTGTTAATTTACAAATCCTATAGAACACCAGTGTTGAAGGCCTGATGTTGTTATGTAAGCAGCTCAAAATCCTTTTCTCTGTAGCGCAGTGCCTAAGTTTAAATCTTCATGACGCGTGCAGTAGTTTTTTATATACCCTCTGTAGCAGATAACCTCCTCTCATCGAAGAAATGTGAATTTGCTTGAGTCATGTCATATGCTTGGCGGAAAAATGAAGAAAAGAAACTACTATGTTTAGTTGCTAGACGAATTTACAGCATGTTCTTATGATCATCAATCAGATCTGTAAGTTTACGTCTCTCTGCGGTGCTCGGCGCTACAGAAAACCTTCTCGTTCATGAAAAAATTGTTCTAAGGAGTTACTTAAGGAACGAATATAAATTAAGACTCAGAAACTAAATTTAACTTGTTTCACATTGAGTGATTTTAAGCTAGATCTCAAATTCCCAAATTGTATAAGCTCACTTGAAT